CAGCCAACATCTGTCCCACTGCTGTGTAACGATGCAGGAAAAGGCACAGCAGTGAGCAGAAACAGTAGAAAATCACATCTGCCACCAGGAGGAAACTTTGAGTTGGTTATGATAATGTTACAGCCACTTTCATTTCTCAGTGGGGTGTCATTCCTTATGCTGGGGGGACACAGTTTGCTCTCAGGCAGAGAGACTCATGTCCATCTTCTGTGTACAGGACCTCTGCAAGGACTTCAAAGAAGTGTCTCATATATGCACCATGGAATATGTGCCTCACTGTGGCTCTGATGGCAAAACATACAGCAACAGATGTGCTTTCTGCAATGCCTACCTGTAAGTATGAGTAAAAATTTTTCTTTCATGATCAGTTCCTGTATCTACTATGAATTCAGGGCTGTTCTCATGATTCCTTTTTTTGACTAACTGCTTATGGGCATGTACTGGACATTTCTGGTGCACTGTGAGTTGTGCAAGGAGATGGGCTTTTTGCGTTTTAGGGGAAAATTTAGGGGGAAATCACAGAAAAAAAAATCTGTAATCTGTACCTGGCCTTCTGTTTGTTAACTTTAAAAGTATTTTGTTCATTTCCACCTGCACTCAAGGTGTCCCACAAGCTCATGAGGGCATGTGGAAAGCACTTTACCAAACCAACTGGATAGTATCAAATGTGTGAAACCATTCATCTTTCCTTTAAAGATGATAATGAAAGGGAGTATTTGGATTTTTGAGACAGTTCTTTATCTCCAGTCAACACTAAATGGACACTTGGGTCAGTGAAATGAGGAATGTGACTTCAGCACTTAATATGCTCTGTGTCTAATTCTCCTCTCTCCTTTTCCTCACCAGGGAAAGCAGGACGACTCTCAATCTCATGAGTTTGGCTGAATGCTAAGTCTGTGCTGGAGTTCAGCCCAGGAAGACAAAACTCCCTTAAATGTGACTTGCCATGGGCTGATCGTCCCTAGTAACATTCCTTCAGTTTGCCTTGTTTCCTTAGCTCCTGAAATACTTGTTCAATAAACTGACTTGGCAAAATTTCTCTGTCTTAATGGCATATCGCATCTGTTTTGCCCCATCTCCTCCCTGACATGGTACTCTGTGTATTTTTCTGTTTGTGTTCTCCTCTACCAAACAGTGTGGATAAAATTTTCCTGCCACGTGTCAGTGCCATCCCTGCTCTGATGAGGGCTTGACCTCCCTCTGGAGCTCCCAGTCACTTCTTTACTCCTCAGAGTCTCCTTGTCAGTGTTAATCTTATCTAACTATGTCTCTGTATGACCTGATCACGAGCTCTGTCTTTATAGTCAGTGCAAGGAGACATTTACCTTGAGAGTATGGTCGACCTCCTCCATAGGGAAATGTCTAGGATGTGGGTGGTGATTTTCTCTCAAGAAGAGCACTTTTTTTGCTTGGGCTAGAAAAGGAAATTGGTTGCCTAGCCAAGAGGTGCCCCTGTCCCAGTTCCTACTGCCTGTGCAGCCTGTCCCATGGAAGAGACAGCAGCTGCTGTCAGGAAAGGTGATTCCAGTCTGTCTCCACTGAGTTTGTCCCCAGTGTCAAGTGCTGTTGTAGGATATAATCTACAGGAGGGGTATATTGAGCTCCAATCAGGGTCACAAACAGCAGAAGTGTCCATTCATGAAATATCTTAATTTATTAATGCAACAGAATATCTCCAGGACTGGTGGGCAGTGATGACCCCTGAGATGGGGGACAGCCCTGGTACATCACTGAGCTGCTTTCTAAAGGCTTTTGGGAAGGAAAAGGATTCAGAGGTTCATTTGTGACCAGTTTTAACTGAATATATAGGAAGTCATAGGAAAACAATTCTGTCTCAGAGTTGTTTTGACTACTTTTTTGAGACTAAAGACCTCATGACTTGGTGATACAATTGTTGTCATTTTGGTGGTCTGTATGGATGGCAGGGAGGTAGGGGAACCTTGGGGCTGTCCTTTGTCTGTTGGCAATACAGGTACAGCCACTACCACTACCTCCACATGAGGTCACCAAAGCTATTGCAAGCCCAATATTTTAGGGTTCAGGGTTTCTTCTGGACTACAGCTAGTGCCTCCCCAGTTCAAGGTCCCATTGTAGTTTACCAGAGAATAGCACAATTATTTGGATCAGTTTGGAAAGTCACTCTTTGAATTGTCGGGCCAGAAGAATAGGCTGAAGGCAAATGTTCCTGACTTGGAGATACTGGGGCTATTGTACCAGAGAACGAGACCATAGTACCTCTGTGCCATTAGTGTCCATTTTCAAGATGATTTGTAGCTAACAATAGCTTATTGTACTTTTCTTTGGTCTGTGTCCTAAAGTAAATGATCCTTTGGTTTATATAACCTTTTTGCCATTTTCTGTTCAGGTGCTCTTGCAGAACATGCTGCTTTAGTCTTGTTTAAATGTTACTTGGTTATCCTCAGGGATAAGACCTGCTTTTTTTTTCTTTTTTTTTTTTTTGTGGACTTTGGCAGCCCTTCACTTGGACTGAGCTCTGACTGTTGGCTTTTTCAAGCCTTCTCAAGCCTTTGCAGTAAAGCTGTCAAGAGCCAACTGAATGGCACTGGCTTGGCACAGCCGTGCCAAAGCCTCCTCTGTGGAGCTCATTGTCTGATGACACCAAAAGCAAACTAGAATTCAAGGAGGCAAGAAGTTGAGCATAAGTCAGAGCAATCCAGTGAAGCAGCCAAAGGGGTTATTAGACAGAGGTTTCCATGCAGTATTCACCAGTAGGTTTCATGTAGAAGTACATAATGGGATAAATCACAAGAAACTGGGCCAGGCAATAGGAAAAGCCTGACATCGGAGTTTAAATATGCTCCAGGCTCAGGGGGTGTTTTATGAAGCAATATAACTATAAAAATAGGGCATCCTTCTCAGGGACAGTGTTGTTTTCTGTGCCTTGGATTTGGTTTTCAGCTGTTCCAGGGTTACTCACTGAGTGTTATTTAGATGATTTCTTTCTGCTTTGTGTTGGAAATGGCCTCAAGTTGCATCAGGAGAGCTCTAGATCTGATATTAGGAAAAATTTATTCATGGAAAGGGTTGTCAAGCATTGGAAGAGGCTTCTCAGGGAAGTGGTTGAGTCATTATCCCTGGAGGGATTTAAAAGACGTGAAGATGTGACACTTGAGGACATGGTTTAGTGGTGGCCGTGGCAGTGCTGGGGTCATGTTTGAACTTGATGATCCTGAAAATATTTTCCAATGCAAACATTTCTATGACAAGGAAGCAATGATCAGGCAAAGACAAACGCATTCAAGAGGAAACACTGAATTATTGTGATTTAGGAGAGAGGTAGAACAATACCAAGTTTCAAGTGTCACTGACAGACTCGAAAGGTGTTTCAGGGTACAGTTCACTGAACTGGGTGCTTGCTTGGCCATAGATAGAGGAATGTTGGATAGATGGTTAGATGGAGATTACGTGGTGGGGAACAGCAAGAAATCACAGAATCACAGAACGGGAAGGATCACTGGAGGTCATCTAGTCCAACCTCTCTGCTCAAGCAGGGTCCCCAATCATCTCATGAACTCATTGCTTACCAGACTGCAAATATACTCAGTACCCATCTCCAGGGTGTAGGCAACAGACACTCTGGTGCTGCTCATCCTGCTGCTCCATCACTGCTCAGGAGCACAATGCTGCAGAGCCCTGAGGCTGACTTTCTTACTCACCTTGAGCAAAAGCCCGAGCAGCTTCAAAATGCTCAGGTTTCTTTCAAAAACCACTCAACGGTTATGCTAGGAAAGCTTGGGTTTTAGCCTGGGGAGAGACACTGAAAGAATCGGAAACAAGCATGGTTTTAGTCCTGCTTCAGTGGACTCTCATTTTTGCACTTTTGCCATGAATGGAAGCAGCTTTATATCCTCAGTCAAGGATGCAGCAAAGAAAAAAATGACTTTCCAGTCATTTTTGCATACAGCTGCAACATCAGGCATTTAAAATTTAGTGCTGAAATGCAGCTGGTCCCACTCCACAGGCTGCAGCCCTTGGCTCTGGAGCTGGGGACAGAGTGGCTGAGCTGTGCCAAGGGTTGACAAACTTTGACGTGTTTCACACTGGTGACGGTCCAGCCTCAGGATCTGTGACTTGTAAATGTACCAGTACATATCACAGAGGCAGTATTTTAAAAATATAAATGTCCTCTCCCTTTCCTTGTTTGTCTGACTTATCTTTATAGTGTTATCAATGTTTTCTGAGTCTACAGTAATTTTTCTTACAAAACAAAGAGAGAGAAGAATGAGGTGAATCATTTAAATTTTGATTGATAAGTGGAATGTAGAAAACAATACTTAGTCTTTTCATACTGAACAGAGGTATTTTTTTTCACTTCTTATCAGCACTTACCCATCTGTGACTTGAAAAACAAACCCTGTAACTTTTCCTTGAGTGTGTCTGCACACAAACTTCATTCAAAAACTTTATCAAAATATCTATGCCTTTCAAAATGATGTCTGCTGATAATTTCCCTTGGTTTATCTTTTTTTTTTCATGTGCTGCATTTGCTAGAGGCATGTGGATGGGCCTAGACACTCTGTCATTCTCTTGAGGGATGTGAGAGTGACAAGGCTCATCCCACTGATTTTTAAATATTCATTTTAGAAGAATATTTAAATGATTTTTAAAGCACTTTTATAACCATATGTTCCTCAAAAAAAAAAAAAAAAGAAAATCCAGAAATAATTATTCAAACTCATTGTATCAGTTGCACAGGTCTATTTAACTGGCTGTTAGCAAAGAAAATAATTTAGGAACTGAAAAAATTTCCTCGGACCTCTACGTTTAAAGGGCTATAAGTCTGGTATGAAGCCATTTCATCCATCAGTATGTTCACACTCAGCAATGTTCATTCTCTTGTTGTAATTTAATGTTTGATACAGTTTTATTTGATTCTTTGCCATGCCCTGGGCTCTGGTTGCGTGCTCTCCGCGGATCAGCGAGCAGATAGGAACAAAGCAGAAAGCAGCAGTGGAAGGAGCCTGTCTCCAGCTGGCAGACATCCACACAGCCCAGGAGGGGTTTCCAGATTTTCACCAGCTGAGGTGAGGCCCCGTAAATTTAAACATACTGTGAATCTGCAAAGAAAAAGCGTTTATGCAGTGTATTCCTTCCTGCCCATTTTTCATTCATAGAAGTAGAACACTGATTTTGTACAAGACCCCTGAAGAATAAGGAATGTTTGGATGCACTGCTTTAAGCCCATTTTCACTGTTCCCTTTAAAGTTGAGCTGCAGCCCATGCTCCAAGGCCACTGCTGAGCATGGCCAGTCATGGCCCCCTGACCAAGCACTGGAGCAGATCTGTGGCACAGATGGTTCCACTTACACCAGTGAATGTGGGATCCGTGCCTATAATGTGTCAGTCTGATAGAAAGAACATGCTTTCCAAGTGACAGTCCCCTAGCCCCCAGCCTCTCCCTGTCCTTTTCCAATTTATCCTCCTTTTCTCTCCACTAGCTGTTTGTGCTTGGGGGGTAAATCATGAAGATTTAGCAGAGAAAAGAAAATAGCTGAAGAAAGTATCCAGAGTAGAAATTCAAATGATGTAGCATATTCAGATGGCAGAGGTTTGTTGACTGATAGGTTTATAACAGTCAGAGACAGCAAAACCACTTCACTGTTGGTGGTTAACTCAGATGAACTCTCCTTCACTTGAATCATTTGGGAGTTTTATTTACATTCCCAGCACCCGTTCCCTTTTGGGAAAATGGTCATACTGAGTCTCTAATGGCAGACTTTCCCTTCCTCAGAGAGCTTGGGACACTCAGGGGCTCAGGAACAGCAGCCATCCCAGTGACTAAGAAGGAAAGCAAACCAAGAAGCAGCCTGAACTCCCATTGCTCCCTGTGGCAGCATCCCAAACAGTGTCAGCCGGATGCTGAGCAGGCAGCGCACGATTGGATGTAAGTGATGCATATACCTTCTGTTGACATTTTATTTGGCAGTGATTTAACGCCAGCTTTCTAATATTGCTGTTCTCCACAGGCTGCTTTCAAATGTAGGAAGAGAAGGATGGCAAAGAGATGCAAAATATGAGACAAGTAGCAAAAATATTTCTTTGCTATGGAAGCATTCACAAACAACCTTCGCTGTCAGCAGCAGGAGAGTGTAGCATAACCATTTCAAGACCAGAAAAGGAGACACACAAAACCTTTGCAGATTTCAGTATTCAGCTCTCCTGAGATATGGATTTTTTTGTCAGGTTGCAAATGGGGCAGTGCCCAAGCCAGGGGATGTAGGAGCCATATGATCATGCATAACATAGCAATTGTTATATATAATATTTTGCTAGTGCAATAGTTAGGAGATGGTAGAATACCTGCTGTCTACCTCTGTCTACCGGCTGTCTACTGTGAAAGAGTAAAATCCTGTAATTTGGCAGCATGTTCCTTTCTGTCAGCACCAACTGTGCTTCACCCATGTCCAGCTGCAAAGAATCAGCCAGTGGTCTCATTAGAGCTCAGCTCCGTAGAATAAATGAAATTGTTACCATTTCTTTTGATGTTAATAATGAAGATGAGTTCAGTGGTTATGCTAATAGTCATTCAGCTACAGAAATTCTTTCCATGCAGTTCATCTTATCCCAGCCAAGTGTTCAAGTTACAGCACCATGATGTATCCTGCCTCTCACACTCCTCCCTGCCCTTCTCACTAGGGCGAGCAGTGCATTTTAATTCTTAGCCTCTTGCACCCTATCCCTTGTTGCTGCTTTATTTACAAGATCATTCTTACAAAGCCAAACCACCATTCATCCAAAATCCCGGAGGTTACTGGGTTTCTTCCCATAAATGAAAACAACCACCTTCACTTGTCTCTTCCAAACACTGTTTCTCATACACATTTTTCCTGGTTTGTTTGTTGATAAGGCAAGACCTGGGAGTATGTTTTTGTTTCGTGATCTACTTGCTTCTGTTCTGCATCACCTCCTCCTGTGGTTTTCATTTCACATGGAAAGAAGACTTTGCCTGGGGATATGGTATGTTGATCTTCTTTGGGGCAGTTCCGAGGCAGAGTGATGCCTCCAGGTCACTGTGGCAGCAATGGATTGGCACCTCCAGGAACACCTGCTCTGCACTCCTGGTTTCTTCCTCCCATGTTGGATTTGTGCAGGAGGACATACTGCTGAAGTGTTTATCTAAGTTAAAAAACACTTTACAATAAGTCTTCCCATACATGTCATTATCTGTGTACAAACTTCATCCCTTGGTCTTCTCTCAAGTTGGGCAGAGCCTCAGCTTACCCAGTCCTGAGCTTTCATGAAGCAGGTCTTAGATTCTGGTCCAAAGGGCTGTGGAGCTGCAGACTGAATGATGATTGCAGACCCTGTCTGGTCCAAAATCCCTGTGTCCAAGGCTTTGGCATTTTACCCAGGGAAATTTTCCCTTGGTTACCTACTACTCCAGGTAGAGCTAAGAAAAGTCCAGTCCTCCTGGCCTCTGATCAAGAGCTTAAAAGGAAACCACAACTCATTTACAGCCAGACCTCCCCAAATCCCCAAATTGTCATGTTACTTACTGAGAGGAGGGAGATGTAAACATTGAAGGTTAATTACCCTTTTGTCAAGAACACTTTGTGATCTATAGACATATCTGTCAATCTTACAAAACGGAACTGAGGGGAGCGAGCACTGAAGGCATGTTCCTATGATAAATTAATGAGACTTGGCAGCTCACTGTGAAGAGATGATCCCTGTGCTTCCTGGGAGACAATCACCTGGCTCCTCAGCCAGCCTGACCACAGATTTCATACTGCAGTTGCATCCGGGATGCTTATCCCTCTGTAAACAAACTCTGAAATCCAGCTGTACAGGGATCAAACGATCTTCCTTGAGGCCTTAACTTTCCCCTTTGCTGCTCAGCCAGCAGCAAGGGCTCATCCCACCCATGCTGGATCAGTTTTCCCAGCCCTGCTTGTTAGTCAGTTAAAATACCTTATTTCTGCCTATCAGCCTCTCTCGGCAGTGACACTCCTTGGTGGGTCACGTAGCTGTCTGAAATCCAAGGGACACAGCCACAATCCCCCTGCTGTGTGCTATTCTGATGATGTGTGTGCTGCTACATGACTGGTAGCTTGAAAATGTGTTCAACTATTCCCCTGGTTTATATAACCTCAAAGCAATTTGCTTTCATGGCAGAACATGCTTATTCGTTCTATTTTAACTGCATTGTGCTATAAATACTGTCTCCTTGCAGATAAGAATCTATTGAATTTTATTATCTTTTTTTCCTACCTTTGTAAGATTTTCTCCTGACCCCAGCTCCTGAAGGAGACTTTCTCAGCCCTAGTAGTGAAGTTGCTGGATTAATTTTCTCCTACCAAGCAGCCATGAGTGGTGTCAATCCCAGGTCAGCTGCTACTTCCCTGCAGCCACCTCCTTGTTGTTCCTGCTTGGGCTGTGGCAAAGATGAACTGAGTGCTCAGTGATGCAGAGCTGAGATCACTGAAGTGCCAGGGAAACTGATTAAACCAATGATTTCCTCTGACCAGCTGCAGGTTAATATCTTTGCATTACCTCCAACCCACCCTCCCTGCAGTACATTCACTTCAAAGAGCAATAACTTGGGTCAGTGTCCAGCAAAATTGTGTTGTTTACTGCCTCCTTTTTCTGATGCTCATTCTAGCACTTTCCTGCTTTCCTCTGAGTAACCTCTGCCCTGTGCCATGGAACTCTGACCTGACATCCTCATCATCCAGAAACATCAGAGAGCTGGAGCACAGCACAAGCTGGAGGTATGTCCTCGGAGCTGATGCTGCAGACCCACGCCTGGTCCAGGCTGCAGCACAGCAGTGAAGTGGATGATATTTTGGCAGCTGATTTTTTGTAGTGCAAATAACTTCTTTGCTGTAGGTTTGAATGCTGATGCTCTTCTGGAGAAGGGTTGTAGTGCCAGAATGCTGGGCTGCTGCATAGGTGGAGGGACTTTGAAACCACTGAGAGCTAATAATATCCTCAAATTTGAACAGTTTAGCATGTGGAGTTTTCAAAAATTACTCTAATTCACTCTTTTTGTTGTACATGTTTCTGGTGACCCCCTGTAAAAATGTCCTGGGAGATCTTTGTAGAGCTTACAGGTGATCCTTTAGTAAAGGTTGTAGGAAAACTGAGGCTGCTCTTCTGGGTCATAGAGAAGTATTATGTTTCTGTATTAATAAAACTATTCATAGGAGAGAGCATTATACAAGTACCATATACATAAAATAATTCAGCTTCTAAGAGCTCTCCAGAGGTCTCTAGTTCAACCCCTGCTCAAAGTCAGCTCAGGTGCCCAAGGCTTTCTTGTTCAATTTAGTTTTCAATATCACTGAGGAAGGACATGCACGGCCCCTCTGGTTCCCTGTGCTTAATCATCCTCATGGCAATAAATAATTCCTCACATTCATTCAGAATTTAATCCTTATGCGATACAGCTCTGCTAAGACTCTGAGTCTGCCTTATCTATAGCCCCATCAGGGAGCTGCAGAGAGCAATCTATTAGCAGATAGCCATCAGTTCTCCAGGATGAAGAATCTCAGCTCCTTCAGCTTCCCTGGATTGCCCCGTGCTCCTGTCCCTGGGCAGCCTGCTGGCCTATGTTGGACTCGTTCCTGTGTGTCAACATCTGCCTTTGCAGTGGGGCCAAGTATATTTAATTCATTGCATAAGTAATGTGAAACCATGTTAGCCTTCACCTGCAGGGTACAAAGTTCTGCACAGGTCTTATTAGCTCAGGAAAACATCCACTGGCATTACCTGGATCAAGTTCTATTTAATAAGTTCATAAAACATGGATATGTTTTGATATCGAGATGTTTTAATCATATCAGTGACTTTGTTTGCTCTATTGCTTAGTTCAAATGGGGCCTTCAGGCACTAAGTAAGAGCCAGAGCTTCCATTTGTGCTCCATTGGTTTCTCCAGGTTTGTGGCTCAGTGCAGATGGTTGTTGGCCACACTGTGGCCAAGAGAAAGCCAAAGATGAAAACTACAGTCTGAATTGTGTTCTGCAGGCATTTTGTGGTGATTAGGGGCATTTTCATGAAAGAACTGCAACTAATTATTATTTCCCACTTTTATGAAAGCTTTTTGTTAGTTTGTTAGTTGAATAATGTGACAAAAGCCAGGAGGGTTTGGAAAAGTGCGTTAAATAATTTTTCATTTGTTTATCAATGTATTATTTATGCTGAGAAGTCCCATATCCTCTAAGAAAATTTTCCAGCATCAGTTTTGATTATTTTAGAGAATATGTAATCGATACTGAAAAAAATTATAATGGGAAATGTAAAACAAGAAATTACTTGAATAAGTGAGAGAGGATGTTGTATAGTTGCCAAACCCTGCCCTGCAGTCAGCCCGTAGACCCTGTGGTGCTCAGGACCTTAACAAGTGGTACACTGAGATGTGGCACTACCTTTGCTTACTTGCAGGTCACAGAATCATAGAATTTTTTGGGTGGGAAGAGACCTTAAAGATCATCTTGTTCCAACCCTTCTTCCACGGGCAGGGACATCTTCCACTATCCCAGGTTGCTCCAAGCCCTGTCCAACCGGGCCTGGAACAATTCCAGGGATGGGGTAGTCACAGCTTCTCTGGGCAGCCTGTGCCAGGGCTTCCCCATCCTCACAGGGAAGAATTTCTTCCTTATACCTGATCTAAACTGACCCTCCTTCAGCTTAAAACCATTCCCCCTTGACAAAAGTCCATCTTTAGCTCTCTTGTAGGATCTCTGCCCTTGTGCTGGCTGCTGCACACAGGAGGATTTTCCTTTAGCCAAATGGTCATTAGCCAGATGCTGCATCTGACTTTGAGGATTAGAAGACCGTGATGAAGGGGATTACAGCATGAGATCAGTGGCAGGATTGCAGACCAAATCCTCTTTCTAACTGTTCTTCCAGGAGTAGCTAGGAACTGAGCAACCTGTCCTACAGCATGAGTTTACACAGCTGTGGGATTTTTCCATGCTGTTTTCAGAGATGAGTCAATCTGGAGCTGTAAATCTGGAGGCTGTGGACATTGTCTAGTTGAAGGTTGTGCATGTATCTGAAATCTGGTGACTTTTGTGACTTGCCTGGGGGCTCATGTGGGACTGGTGTTCCCCAGTCACAACTTAATTGTCACACCTAGTCTCTGAATCTCCCTAGATTGTCTGCAGATGAGAGAGTAAAGGAATGGATCTGTTGAACATCTGAGGCACTGTGGTGGTCAGAGGAAATCTGGGCTGCTCAGGGCCAGTAAGTGCCAGACCCAGTGCTGAACCCAGCAGTTGCAGTGGAAAATTTTTCTCTGGTGTATTCAGGCAACACATGCCAACCTTTGGCAGGAAGGTGCTCTCCTCTCACCAGGAGAGAGGCTGGTGCTGCCTAGAGGACAACACTGTCCAGGGCAGGGAGCAGCATGGAGCACCAGGCAGGAGCAAATCTGTCAAAAGCTACCAGGTTGGAGCTGGGAAGGCTGGTGAGAATGATTCACAGAGGTCTTGCTGCCTGGCTGGAGAAGGCAGTGGCCAAGTTCGTATTTAACCCAGGAAGATGTACCCCCCTCCAACTGTGCAGAGCCTGTATGGATGATCTGATAAAGACAGCAAGGTTGGTATGTGACAGCGTGTTCCTGCACACACTCAGGGAAAAGTGTTTGGCTTCCAGACACCATCCACAAGACACATTAGGGCAATACATCTTGAAGATGTGCCAAATCTGTCTGAAATATTCATGCATGCTCCCTGTAATTTATGGAAACAATCACAGCAGCATAATTATTTTGATGCTTCTCTCTGAGAAGAATCTCTTAGGTAAAAATGTAACCTGTATAAAGACACAGCCATGCTGCAGCCTTCTGAGCAAGCCAGTGCCAGGATAGGTGATTCCATAGGCTATACAGTATATCCATTTAAGGATCAAAATATACCCTTTAGACTACTGTGAGGTATTAGACATGAACACATTTGCTTGGGCTGAATTTCAATGATTTCAGCTAAATTTCATTTGTCTAATGGGTGGTGCCTTGTTTGTTCAAGGTAGCACCTGTAAAGCACCTTTTGCTCTGCAGCTTCCATGGTTCTGAAGTCTGCCCTAAGCACAATGCTTAGCTCCCATGACCAGAAAACCCCCCAGGTATTCTTGACATTTTGGACCTGTGAAAGGGATGAGGAACTTAGGCTACAGGCAGAACCCACTCCTGCAAAATTACAGCTACTAAAACAGCAGAGGTGCAGACCTCCTCCTAGGAAGGAGCAATTTGGAGATGGCACAAAGGCTGCTGGTGCGAGACAGGCAGGAAAATTGGGACAGCTCCTGTATTTTAAGTATCATTTTCTAAAATATCTGCAAGAGGAAAGGACCCACTGTACTTTCAAGCTGGTGCTATGTAAATAGGTTCCCAAACTTCGGTGTCTTTTGTTCTTCAGATGGCTTGGCGGAACACTCTGAATCAGTTGGTGTGTTTAACTGGGACTGGGTCTGTAAATAAGTGCTCCCTGCTAGTAAGGTTCAAGTGACATTTTTAGTGACAGATTTTTAACCTGCTTTCAAGTCTTCTACTGAGCTCCTCTATACCCAGGCAGTGAAACTGTCAAAAAGCCTTTGCTTTAGCCACCCCAGTGCTAAATACCATTGGCTTCACAGATTGGACACAGTCCTGCCCAACTTGCCTGACAAAGCTCAACCAGTTCTGTTGATGGCAAAGCCACACCTGACCTGTGTTTGTATCTAGTGGTGAATATGTGGGAATGTGGGAAAAAAACCCCACCCAAAACCAGAAAGGAAAGCAGAGACTTGGCCTGATCTGCAAACAGGATGGTTCTGTGTCCTGCCTAAGCTGCTCCCTGGAGGGAGATGTTGCTCTGCAAGAGACAAATGAAGGGCCTACTGTTTACGCTCCTCAGTATTTTGTGCTCCTTACATTTCCACTAGAATCCTAAAGAGGTTCCTTTTTTCCAAAAGGCTGTTTGTTTGGTTTTGACCATTGGGACCTTGTGATACTTGTCTTGAGCTATTAACCGGGTGTCCAGCCAAAATCAATCGCCTAGCAGACTCAGACCATTACCTGAACAGTCAAGACCTCAATAAATATTACCAGCCTTATTGTGCTAGTGACAGATTCTGTTGTTGTTTTATGTTACAGTTGAACAGTTTAGACATTGCATTTGTATATATTTGCAGTCAGCTCTGGAGAGACCATCTCGTGAGCAGCACAGGAGCTCAGCCTGCAGACTCAAGACGCTTCCACCATGACAGCAGTGGGTGTTTTTGTGCTCCTCTCCTTGGCGCTTTGCTGCATCCCAGGTGAGTAACTCTCAAGGTGCCACAGAAGCTTCATGTCTGAGTCCTGTCTGTCTTTAAAAGCATAAGAGAGTGGCTTCAAAGAGAGAAAAATCTTCTCCTTCAGAGCACTCAGCTGCCTTGGTGCGTTGGTATCGTGCAGGATGCAGGAGCACATTTCGGGACAGTCCTCAATGGCTCATGGCTGTAGCTGGTTGTCTGTCATAAATACAAATAACTGCAAGGAGAGTTCTGTCCTGGCAACGAGTGCTGTTACACTTTGTATACTGATGTTTTAACACCATTACACTGCTTAGACTTATTGTACAATTACAGCAAATGGATCAATACTTGAAATAAGGCCATAAGAAGAGGGTCAGACCTCCAGTAACTAGCTGTGAAAATATTGTAGTGGCACAAGCAAGTTCTTTGTAGGACCCTGGAAAATTTCCTGCAATACTTTTTCTGCTAATGGAACAACAAGATATGAAAACAAGCCAGAGTCTGACGTTCTCATTGCATATTTACAACTGATAAAATTACACAGCCAAAGACATTTTTTTTTCACACTCGGCTTCTTTAAAATGCATATTTCTGACAGCAGATGCTGTATGTATTTGCTTATCCTATAGATGACTATTTGCATTCGTCTATATTGATTCAGGTGTATTTTCAAATACATAACAGCAGCTCTTTAGGGTCGAAACGGATATGTAAAAAGATAAGGAAGGAAAAGCTCTTCCATTTTCAATTAATAAGTCTACGTATCTCAAAACAGAAAAGAACAAAGCTATTCAAAAGTGTGTTTCATCACTACCAACAATAAGCAATGCTATTATACTTATCGGCATAGAGAAAAAAATCATACATAGTTTATTTGGTTCAAAACCCAATCACTGGAAATAACTCAGCTTGTCCCTGTATATAGGAATTTTACACCCATATTTCCAGCTTTAATAGAGGTCTTATCATGTTGGCCTTGTTTCATACTTTCTGCCTCTCTTTTCCAGATGCTGCCTTTGGGATTGAGGTGAGTGGAAGAATTCTTTCTGTCACTTTTCTCAAGTATGTGGCCTGGTAAAGACATAACCAAAGGAATGGGAAAAACCTCCAGCCTGTAGATGTTCAGCTGTTTTTCACCTACTATGACACTGGTGTAATTGTAATCAGATTCTACAGTGTAAAGCATTAAATTGTACTGCTCTTGGCACTACATCTATGCTGTTTGTTAATAATGTTTTAGTAATAATGATACAAAATTTTTTGATTATTTTTTCAGCAACTTTAGACAGCAACTAAGCTTTAATCTGGTCATATCTAACTGGTTTTAAACTGATAACTATACAGTCTATCTGATATCTGTGGTATCAGAACCTATCTGAGGGCAACCTACTGAAAGACTAAAATACTGTGAGCTGTTCCAGCTTCCATGCACCAGGTCATTAGTCTAGGTCCTCTGAAAAAAACATTATCAGGGTACTGAGAATGAATGAGTAAAAACAGAAGGGCACTGGAGGGGCCAAAGGAATAGAAGAACAAGGGACCAGTAGGGAGCCTTTATAAAATGATGCCAAGTGAGCATGAGAGACCACCACTTATTTACCCCATCCAAGGGGCTGCATGGCTATAGCCCTCTCCTCCTCCTCCTCTCCTGCTGTGTGGGAAGGTCCCTGCAGGAAGGATTCACCTGTTCCCAGGCTGACCCACCAGGACAAATTTTTGCTGTGGTGGTGAAAACTGGTTGTACTTGGTCACTGTCTCATACAAAATGAGAGTTGTGAATGTCAAATGACTTCTCCACCCTGTTGCTGTACATTCCCTTGGCAGGTGGACTGCAGTACATATCCCAACACTACAAATGAGGAAGGCAAAGAGGTGTTGGTGTGCAGCGAGGCCGTCAACCCCATCTGCGGTTCCGATGGAGTCACCTACGGCAATGAGTGCCTGCTCTGTGCCTACAACATGTATGTACTGCATGGGAGATCTCAGGCAGCGATGCTTAGGGCTCCTGGCAGCACCACTTTTCAACAATCAGGGATCTATCATGTCAGTTCTGTCAGTTCCTTCAAAACGAGCTTGGGTATCACTTTGTGGTGCTCTGGTGCTTAGACATCGCTTTAGTCACTGTGTTTCTCTTTTGCTTGTGTAATTTATTCAGGTTTTTCTTCTCCAGCTCCAAGGATCAGCCAGATGACAGCTCTGAGAGCACATCTCATCACAGCTGAAGGATGGAGAGATGCTCTGCTCTGAGCTGTCCAAAATGGTCCTAAAGCTCCCAGGGTTTTACATCCCTGCCAGCCACTCAGCTGCTTAGGGAGAATGGCACTACCTTCTCAAAAATACATATATGAGCCTGACTGAGAAAGAGGCAGTTTTCCCTTGTATTAGTTACATATTTCCAACACCTAGGATGTAGTGATGTCTTTGCTGAACTTCTAACATTTGTCTTTCCCTTTCCAGAGAATATGGAACAAATGTCAGCAAAGACCATGATGGAGAATGCAAGGAAGTTGTCCCTGTAAGTGAAACCAAGGGCAAAACAAGGGAAATCCCTGCTTCTGAGTTCCCAAAGCTGCTTATAGAGTTCCCCAAGATGTAACTCAGACTCTAAACAAGAGTACATATGAGAGGTCAGAGCCTTGCAATGGCCATCTGCAAGTGGAGTGTCATAGTGGCACACAAAAAAGCGTTTTTCCTGCTGTGGTGGTATCCTTCATGACCAGACAGGCACACTCACCAGATCTACTTGCTTCCTTTAAGCCAGCCTTCAGCAGTGTGCTGTTGTGTGTTCCCTCAACAGGTGGACTGCAGCAGGTACCCCAACACAACGAGTGAGGAAGGCAAAGCCGTGGTGCTCTGCAACAAAGACCTCAACCCCATCTGTGGTACCGACTGGGTCACCTACGACAATGAGTGCCTGCTGTGTGCCCGTAACCTGTGAGTACTGGCTGTGCTCGGGGACCAGGGCTTAGTTCTCCTGGCAACTGCTCTTCTGAGTATCAGCACTTCCACTAAGGCCTTTTCTGTAAGGTGCTTGGACTTTGACCCTTCTCTTACCCTCATAACAAGACCTTGTTTTCCTTTGTGATTAGAAGGAAAACTGTGCCTTTGATCTAGAAAGAGAAGTAGAGGGCTGGGTGGGGATCAAACACAGGACAGGATGCTTCTCTGAAGTAAGTCATAAGGATCTATGTGGCAGAGGTTGCCTTGCAGAGGACAATAACTAACCTAAGGGGCATCTACACTGCCACCCAACTTCTCTCCTCATTCACTGTAACACTCTGGACTCTCCCTTGTCCTTCACATCATGCCATAAAACAACATTCTGGCAGGCAGTGACACCACCTGAGCTGGTGTCTAGAGCCATATGGGCACAAGATAAGTGGGATGTCTCTGTATCCCATGCATTACACCTCAGACTGAGCAGCATTGCTGGGACATGGGGTTCAGCAGAGCATGCTTGTAGAGCTCCCTAATGCAGGTCTCTTCCCTTCCCAGAGAGGCTGGAACCAATGTTGGCAAGAAGAATGACGGTGAATGTAAGAAGGAAATTATCACAGTAAGTGAATTGCATGATGAGGGACTGAGTTTTGGTCCTGCTACTGTTAGGGGAAGCACTGCCAGTGTCTGCAGCAGCCCCCAGACCAGAAGGGTCCTGCTGGAGTGTAACTGCTGCTGTGCTTCAGCACAGGGAAGATTTCGTTTTCTCCACATATAATACCCATTATTCATGTGAACACCAGAATAGAGAGCAGGTGACTGCTCAGGAAGAGATCAGTGAAAGAGTAGTAGCAGAAATAATCCATTAGGGGAGAACTGAGGATAAGAACAGAGAATGGCTTATGAGGTCAGACCAATGGTCCATTAAGCCTGTCATGACTCGATGCAGAGCCTGCAAGGATTGTGTAGGAAAGAGTGAGAGTAGAATATCTATGGGACTTCTACTCTTCCAGCCTCCAGCTATTTTCAGGTGATGAACCTCAGCTAGGTGTGATTTCTGTGTAGTCAGTAAGCCTCACTAGATTTCTCCTCCATGAAATTCCTGAGCCTCTTTCTGCAGCCATATACATTTTTCACCCTACAGTACTGCCCTGAAAGCACAGCACCCATTGCACTGGAGAACAGAATCACACTCTTGCAGTATTTAGCTGAGTGCTGATCTTCCTGTTTTAAGACTACAGAAGGGATACTGGACCTTTATAGAGGAATCAGCACCTACACTTCTCCAGAAGTCTCACCAGTGTTTTTCCATTTAATTTCCTGGACAGCTTGGGAACACAGTGCAATGTTATTACAGGCACGATGCCTTCACCGAGTGAACTTCTGCTGCTTAGAAATGATGTGATCAGGTTATGATACACATCTCTTCAAACAGGAAATTATGATCTATTTTTATATTATTAAATTCTCCTGGCATAGGAGAAACTGACACCACAGTTTATATCAGATGTGCAAGGAAGTTAATTACTTTTAGTTAGATTGTTATCATTAACACTGCAGCTGTAGCTCAGGGTTCAAGCCCTTCTGCTATTGACTCCTTCACATCAGACTCTTTTCTTTTTGTTTTGCAGGTTGACTGCAGTGAATACCCTAAACCTGCCTGCTCACTTGACTACATGCCTCTCTGTGGCTCGGACAACACAACATACAGCAATAAGTGTAACTTCTGCAACGCAGTCGCGTATGTACAAACATGAACCACATTTTTGTTATCAGTTGCCTCCTATGGGTGAAAGTTTGCACAGCTGCTGCTTTCTTGTTTGCTGGGCAGTGTTGATTAGGGATTTGGGCAGGAGAGAATGCCAGCCACCATGCCAACCGTTCTGGTTTTTTTTTTTTTTTCACTAGAGCATACAAAGAGCTGTGCCTGCTTGCATGAATGGTTTGAAGGCCATTTAACGTTAATGGAATTTTTCTTGCATGTTGCAAAGGAAATTACTGTTGAAATTTCACTATAGTTTCCCCACAAATATTTTCAGTCTTAAGAATGGGTTAAATTGTTTTGCTCATCTCTTAATAATCAAATAGCTAATGGAACTCTGAGTGTGTGAGTTCCTTGGCTCCCATCTGACACCATCTCTAGGAGCCAAGCTGTCTGATTCATTTTTTTTCTCCTCACTTTCAGGGACAGCAATGGGACTATCACTTTAAGCCATTTTGGAAAATGCTGAGTATCAGTGCTGAGAGAATTTACCACAGGATCCCCACTGGCAAATCCCAGCTGAAGATCTCACCTCAGTTCATCTCACCCTCTGGGGAACTCAGCTCACTCCTGATTTTCTTTCTCAATAAACTAAATCAGCAACATTTCTTTGTCCTGTTTCATGTGTTGTCTCATGAAACATTTTCTTCTGATTTGTTGAATGATGATGCCAGGCAGAATAGGTTATGTGCTCATAGCTCTGGGATATAACAAGAATAACATCTTGCTTCCCTCCTTCTCATAAAAGGCAGAAAATTAAATACAGATGCCTAAACCCCAGAGCTGTGTGTCTTTGTGCATGAATGATAGTCGGCCTGCATTAGTGTTCAGACCCTTTAGGCGTTTGAGGTTGTAAAGGGCTGGAGTGGTGACACAGGTATTCCTGGTGCAAGCAGCATCAGCAAAACCTGGTCAGGCTGTGGTGTCTGTGCCCAGAGCTGTTCCCTGGCCTCCTCAGCACCATCCTCACCTGAAGTGTAGCACTCTGCAAGGGTAGTCTGTGGGCAAAGCCCATATTTTTCAGGCACGTGCATGGTCCCAGTCTATTTGTCTAGGTCCTCCAACTGACTTATTAGCAGGTCTTTCTCATCTTGAAATCATCCTTTAGCAACCTCCAAGTGTTTTAAGATAAATGCTTTCCTAGGGATGGTGCCTACTCCTGCCTACTTGTCTTCTCTCTTAGTCTTTAATAACACAGTGCTCTTTGCCAGCCCAAGAAGTATTTCAGCAGTGTTTCACAATCGAAGGACAAAGTATCCTTCTGTTTTTTGAGAGTGTGACCTGTCACTGGCATATTGTCCATGAAATTTATTTTGCTTTTGTCCTCTGTTTGAGTATTGAATTGGTGTTTTTTTGATCCACACAAGAGTAACATAAATAAATTGGGCACAACCCTTCTAAAATATAATATCTCCCACATGCATTTCTTCTGGGAGCCTGCTTGCTTTCCTTGATGGAATGAGGTCGTCCCAAAAAGCAGTGCTTTGGTGGTAAAACAAAGGATTTCTGTTCAGAAGGCCAGATGGATGAAGCAGCGATTTCCAGATTGGGTTCAACTTTTCTAGGATCCATACTAGGGCCTCACATCATTCTGTCATCATTATACTAAAAGCTTATTACTGCATTGCTAATGGATTTTAGGGGAAATAACAATTGTAAATTTGCATAATCCCATAAAAGCTGCTTCATTTCTTGTCCTTTCCAAGTACTCCTTTCAGTGTCTGTGACACACTCTTGCTGGCCTTCCCAGTTCATTGTTTTCCTGGTTTCACTATAACTTAATGATGCTTTACTGTGCTGAAGCACAAAAACAAAAGGAGAGACTTTCTGCTATGGAATCATTCCATTCAATGTTTTTCTCTTGAAAAGACGCCACACATAAATAGGCACTGATAGGTGCACACAGAGAAAATCTGACAGCAGTTGCTGCTCAGGTTTGTACAGTCGCTCTTTTGCCTGCAGGAATTTTTTATGATCCCTCAGAAGGAAACTGACACATATTTCGCTTACAATAATGACACAGAGGGTGTATCTAACACATCTAAACTTCTTGTGACTCCCGTTGATGAAGAAACATCCTCCTTGGCTTGCAGCGTGGCTTTCTTCTATCGAGATTGCCGCTGCAACAAAAGACCAGGAATGTTATTCCAGAATAAGGGTGGATAAGGCAAATATGAACATGCACAAACACGCCAAGCACACACACACCCAGCCGTGCGGGCGGGAATATAAGCGCGGTTACCACCGGAGGGCAGAATCAGGGCTGCGTTTACTGAGCAGAAGCCAAACTCTGCTGCTCACAGACGATCTCCAGCCACCATGAAGGTGACAGCTGTGTTGCTGCTGATCTCTCTGGCCCTTTGCTGCGTCTCAGGTGAGTTACTCCACTGCCTCCCGCTCTGCCTTTGAGTAAGCGCTGGCTGTCTTTAGAACCACAAAAAAAAACATCCCCAGACTGGAAAGAGCTTCATTCTGCAAGGACTTATTTACTCCTAGAAAGATAGTGTTGAAAAGACTTGACATCAAAGACTATCACTTATGGGGTAATATTTTAGCAACAGAACTGAGTGGGTAAGAACAACTGTGGGAACAGCTCTACTCTCAGCGCTAGTTTATGCATAATGAAAGAAGTGACATGTACGTGGTACAACCCAGAGACTCAGACATCCAGTATTTAACCTCTGAAATGTTGCGGAAACACAAACAATTTTACTGAATGAAAGTGAGCATTTCTTGTAGTCATCCTGAACTGAGATGCAATTTGAGAGCCTGAACTGCTGTAGAAGCTTTATAAATTTACATCTCACTAAATACTCCTCTTGTTTAAGAACAACAGTGGCAACGCATGTAAGATGCTGCCTCTGTGTACTTGTCAGGTTTACGACCCTGCTTGCCTCAACAACTCGCTTTGCTTTGAGTACATGTCCTGCTCCATCTTTTGAACCATGGAAACTGTCTTTCTCTTCTTTCATTTTGCATACCTTTTTCCATCTTGACTGTAGCCCTGATTAAAAAACTCAAAACAATACTACAGAATCAACATACAGTGGGGCACAAAATTTTGCCAAAATTGCTTTTGTCTAAGAATTAATTTGCTCATACACAGTGAATTGGAAGTTTTTAGTTTTTAAAAGGGCATTAATTCACAGATTTTAACTCTAAAAGAATCCATGAATTACATTTGTAATGTATTTCATTTTTTCTTCTTTTTTTTTTCCAGCAACTGTTGCAGTGCCGGTAAGGAACAGATTTTTCTACTTTCCATCCTTTCTTTCCTTAAAAGAAATTTCTGTATAAGTCCCTAGTAATCACATTGTGATTGAGCCTTTGAAAATCCTGAGACATCCAGCTATCTGAACAGTATTTGCCATAGATATGGTTGGGTGAAATTGCCATTTTCATCTGATGATAGTTTCAACAAGTAGGGCAGTATCCAGTTCATGTCCCAGTTATTTGTTAAAGTTACTGCAGCATCACTTACAGTGGTTACACAGGCTCTACATGGCAGGAGGCAACATACTCCTGTATCCCACCCTGTCCCTGGGCTTTTTCTCAGCATCAATAAGTTGCAAGCTCAGGGGTGTGTGGGGTCTCCCAATGTCACCTTTCTTGCATATCTTTGGTTGAGAGCTTTTTTTGTTTTTTGTGAATACAGTTTGCATATCAGTACTGCAGTAACCAGCCAGTAGCCAGCAACTTCTGTACCATGGAGTACGCGCCACACTGCGGGTCCAATGGCGTCACATACGGCAACAAATGCTTGTTCTGCAATGCATTCGCGTACGTATGAAACAAATCTCTTCTCTAGCTAAATTAACTGAGCTTAAACTAGCTAATCAGACTTGGAGACTGGTTGGAAAAATAAAGTTCTTTTATTTTGTTTACCTGTTATTTCACTAGCAAGGTTATCTTTTCTTTATTGGGAGAGTCTACCGGGGAGTCCGTCCTTGCAGGTATAAAGAGATAGCATAGAGTTCTCCATTTCCCTCTTAAGTGATTTGCTGAAGAGCCTTCTTCCAGCAAAAAAGTCTATTTCCTACAGACTATTTGTTCTTTTAAATTAAGAATTCGTCTTGCCTTTGTATGTTAATAATAAAAGAAAATAGATAGAATAGAGTTCAGAGGTTCCTCTGCGGTGTAGAGGAGAGACAGACCAACAGTAAAAGCTTGGATGTTCCATCTCTGAGTTACTGATTTCCTTCTCTGCAGGAGGAGCCGTCGGACTCTTGAACTGAAGTCTATGGGTTCCTGTTGAGTTCTCAACAGGCTTCATCTGAGAAATCCCCCTCTCTGGCAATGTTCCCCATGGCAGATGATTTCCTAAAGTCTTCACCTGACCCTTGAAAGCTTCTGATAAATCTTGAAACCTCTGCTTAATAAAAAAAAAAGAGTCATCAGCATTTATGTCTTGCCTTAGTCTCATTCTGGTTTTATCTAAGAGGTTGCATGATTATAACGCTGCAACAGACCTGGGGTGTGGGAATTAATAGGGAAATTATTCCAGGGAGAGGGAGTACAATGTTCTGATCTACCAAAAAATCAACCCCAACTGCAAAGGCAATGGGTAAATCTTGTGGGTATCAGCCTTCATCCAGCTTTCTGAAAGAAAACCAGGGCTAGAGGTGCATCCTGCTGCTCCTGTCAATTTACTCCACTGAGGGTATCACAGACAGACTCTCTGCTTTGGGGAGAGGAGCAGCCTCCCTCCACAGCTGCTTCTGTCAAATACCTGCAGCCTCACCCAGCATTACTGTTTCACAGACTGGCAGCATGAAGGGGCCCCAGGTGAACCTCAGTGTTCACATAATTAGAGGCAGTCCCAAGATTGTTGCAGTTGGGATGTTTTGGGGCTGTTTTGCAAAAGCCATGGTAGCAAAGAGGGTCTTGTTGGCACTGTGAGCTGCTCGTCCTTGTTTTGGTTTCCAGGGTTATCCCCAATTTCTTATACCCACAAGAGAAGAGGCGAAGAAGGTGAGATTCCAAACTGCCTCTCTTCCCCTCGCAGGCAGGACTGGAAACCCACCCTTTTCAATCTGCTTTGCTTCCCAAAGCAATGGCACAGGATGTTTTCTCTGGGCAAGCAGAATACCTTGCTGCCCACGTTCATGTTTGTAAAGTTCATTGCTGTGGAGTATTGCAGAAAACCAATGGGCAGCCAGTCCTAACAGACCTGATGTTCAGATGACTGCTAACCATCCCTGCCGTTCCGGCACCTCACCCATCACTCAGCTGCTGTTTGTGCTTAATTACGTCAACTGTTGCTTGTAGAGGATCCTTTGAGATTCTTCGGCCTCTGGAAATCTCGGCTGATGAAAGGATGGTCTCAGAGTCATAGTGTTAATTTATTATTCATTAACAGTGAGGCGCTGGCAGTGCCTCGTGCTGTACAGGCAGCGAGTCTCACAGTCAAATAGTTAATGATCTTAAGTGACAATGTGTCACTTCCCAGAGAGTGGAGAGAGCAGCTCTCTAAAAGGAGACAATTTATTTCCAAAAGACATGATTCTTTGCAACCATTTAGTGCCAAGTCCCTTCCTGGGGCTGCAATGTCCCTCCTGTGAGAGGGAGGTCTGTGTGCAGGAAGGCATTTCAATGTCAGATGCCTCAATTGAGCTTCTGGGAGGTAGTGCCAGGGGTGTGGGGCTCACGGGCTTCATGCTCCTTCATTTCCCTCTCCACAGGGTGTGGGAGTCAGGATAAGAGAACACCAGCTCCCAGCACTTATTTTCTTTCCTGGGGAGCAGCAGAGAGGATGAGGATGGCCCTCAGGAACCATGATACCTTGGAGACAAGAAGGGCTCCTTATTGTGCTCAAGATCCCCGTGATCCTCAGAGGGTATCTTCCAGGGCCATGTCTGCTAAACAGGAAAATCCATCATGAATTTGAGGGGAAACTGTGAGTAGAAAGGAAGGGGGACAGATCCTCCACTCTGATGCAGAGTTAGCAGTGTTGCTCAGGAGTAACCAAGGCCAGAGCAGGACCACAGTGGCACTCCCAGCCTCCTGCCCCAGTAGGCTCATCCTCCCATCGTGCTCCTTAGGATGGAGAGAAAGGCAGTCCTCTTTTATGGGCTCCTCATTGGAAATAATTTTTTTTATTGCTTCTCAATAAAATCCTGCCACAACAGCACAAAATCCTCTCACCATCACTAATCTAACTCTCCCCCCAGGAAATTCAAAGCAGGAAACATTGTCTGCCTGCCAAAGTATTTTATGGTACAATTCTTTAAGCAGTATCTCTGCACTTCATGTCATTATCTGTTGTTTGTGAATTTAGGAAATGCCATTCAATTACCTCACAACCTGATTAACACATTGCATGTACTTATTTTGTTCTGCTTTATTTTATATTGATCCTTCTGTTTTAGTGCATTGTTCTACTTGTAACTGGCCAAAATATACCTCAGGCCAGTCTAGACCTTTCTATTAATGCAGTTTCCCTCTGAGGCTTCATGCAGGATAAATGGTTTGTTATTATGCTCTTTCTTGATGAGGAGAAAAATAAAATTATATTTTAAAAGGAAATTAATTGCAGATGTTGTTTTGGGGGGCTGTCTGTGTCAGAGGTATTGCAGCGAGGCAGAGCTGAGATTTACTGAGGGACTGGGATCCTCAGCCTTTTGCTGTTAGCATGCAGCTCCCAGACAGTCAAATTATTCCAGACACCCTTGCCTATGATATCATCTATTCTTAAAAGACTGGAGATATGCAGGCAGCAATCAGAGAGCTGAACTACACGGAGAAATATTAGGTGAGTGCGGCTTAGAGCAGGGGCTTTGCTGGCTGTAAATTGAATTTATGTTCTGATAGAAGATCCAGCTCTGCCCCCGTGTGCAGAGTTCTGGGAACAGCAACGTGTCTGGGAGCTCTTGCAATGTTCCACATCGCCAGTGAACCGCAGAGGAACGCGGTGTGCGTCGGTTCCTACAGCAGCACAGGCTCGAGAGTGGTACTGCTTTGTTCTCGATTACGGTGTGACAGCCGGGACCAGAGCAAGGACAGTGATACTGCTGTGGGAATAACAACACGTGGTCTTACATGCACTGCACACATCCACCTTCCCCACCCCCCCACCCCCCCCAAAAAAAAGGGGGTACCATTGCTCTTTGTATCCAGATGAGGCCTGTGACAAGTTTTAAACTAAAGCAGGGAACATCAGTGAAGAATTCTGTAGATCGTGGTAGACTATGGACTTGCTTGAGATGGGGAATTTCAAGACAAGATGAAAAGCTTCCCAGGAGAATATCACTGCTATGGAAAGAAATACTGATGGATTAGGACTTGGGTAGAATTTCCAGAATTATTGGAAATTTGCCTTAATACAAGAGAACCCCTCATATCACTGCTAACATTTACCCCATTCATGTGGCTGTAACCTTCTTGCATGTTTGCCCTCTAAGAACCTAAAACAGTGTTTTAGAGTTTTATTTAAGCTTTTCTATGGATCTCATATCTGCAGAAATGTTAAAATGATCCTATGGTGAAAACCACTTTACTGAGCCCACCATCATGATATTCCTGAATCTCAGAATCACAGAATCTCAGAATCACAGAATAGTTTGGGTTGGAAGGGACCACTGGAGTTTATCCAGTCCAACTCCCCTACCAAGGCAGGGTCATCTGAAGCAGGTGACACAGGAACTCCTCTAGGGGGGTTTGAATATCTCCAGAGAGGGACACTCCACAACCTCCCAGGTATCTGTTTCAGTGCTCTGTCACCATCAGTATAAAGAAGTTCTTCCTCATGTTGAGGTGAAGCTTCTTGTGTTTTAAGTTTAAGGCCATTACTCCTTGTCCTGTAGCTGGGCACCACTGAAAAGAGTCTGGCACCTTCACACATATCACAGAAGGGCTTGGGCAGGTGGATGCACTCTGCCCTTCCCATTTGCAACACATGCATGACATTTCCTGAGGCTCACTGTCTGGGAACAGTTGTTTTTGACTGTTCCTAATGCCTGTTTTCAGCCCATCTGCTTCCCCACAATTATTCCTGTCCTGTTCCCTCTGTTTCCTATTAATGTTGCTCCTTGTGCAATCCCCGTCACACCTGCCCCAGCAGCTCTCACAGCCCTGCCCTGGCTGCTGTCCATTATCTCCCATCCCTTCCCACAGACCCTTCCCACCTGTAGCAGGGCTTCTTTTTTGCTTCTCCTTTTCTCCCTGCTGCCCCGTGAACTGGCAGGAGTTACTGGAGGAGAAGAACTGCTTTTGGATCAGTCCTGACTGGCCACCCAGACCCTCAGAAGTGGCATGGGGATCAGAGGGGATCTTCCCAGGGGATCTTCCCAGCGGATCTAACTAATGAAAGGGCGGGTGTTGGGCAAACATGAGAGCAGTGCCACTCCCTGGTAGATACCTGCCATGCTCAATAACTCTTGTGTGACTTCAGTCTTGCAGGAGAGGCAACAGGAGAAGCATCACAGCTTCTGCTAACTGAGGATCTCTGATCTGGAGGTGGGTATGGAAAAGCTCAGACTGCAGGGCTGAAGAGGAGACAGACTCTGTTCCTGTAGCCTCCCCAGCCACCACAGGGCTGGCAAGCACCACATCCACCAGCGGCTTCTGCAAGTTCTGAGGAAGCTTTGTTTTCAGGTTTTGGCATTCCTGCCCCTGGAAAATAATAATCATTAATGCTTCCGTGACTAATGCTTCCTTTCCAAATATGCTCACAATCAGCTCAAGGAATATGAAAGTCAACTCACTCAGGATGCTAAGAATGCAACAGAAACAACTTTCAAAGGAACCCTTCAACTTGTGATATTTGTGAATGAGATCCAAATAACATTATTCATTTATTTTTCAGGAAAATGATTTCATTGATATAATCAGGCCAAATCCCACAAGCTCTGTTCTGTGACTACAGTTCCCTTACACTTTCAGCTACATTTTTATGATTTATCTGCTCATGCCAAGTGTTGAACATCTCCCAGGATAATAAGAAAACCAATTCTGATTTTCTGTTTAAAACTCAGGCTGCCTTTAAGCCACACGTATGAATCGAGCCTCTTCTAAAGCACAAACAAGTTCCATCCGTCACTTCCTTCCGTGACTACCTTAAATCAAAAATTTATTATTTTATGCAATATCCCTTATTTGTTTTTCCATGCACTTGTGATAGAGTTGAACCACTTAGCAGAGCCTAGCACATTATTTATCACTTATCTTCCCTAAAACACGACTTTCAGCTGACACTCTAAATTTAATGCCATATAATTGTGGGGGAAGGGGGGAGCCTAACGGCTCACCTTCTGTTTGCAGCTACTGGAATTTTTTCTGGAATGTCTGTCGTATTAAGAAGTCCATGTCACCTGCACAGAGTACCACTTGCTTGCCATTAATAGGAAATGTTATCCCAGT